TTGTAGAGTAAGGATTTATCTATCTGATCCCACCAAGTAGCATAGAACACCTTGGAAACTATTTTGTTTTCATACAAAAATTTATGAAAAAAAAACGCCATTACCTATAGGCCAATTCAATACACCCACATGTCTCAAGAATTGCGAGTAACAACAGTGCGCGTAGCGCACCCAACAAAATAGTCGTTCAGATGACAATTCCGTCTTTTCGAAGAAGGCCTCTCCATGCTTGGAGCCGCTCCTACATATGGGATCACCTGACAGGAAGAGGCCCCTATTTTGGTACGTCCCATCCCCTCCCAAAAGGTGGTTTGATACGCCCTCCCCCCTCCCTCCTAGTTCGCTAGTTCCCTGCTCCAGTCGAGCTGTCGCGGGGGGGGGGGTATGCAGCAGATGTGAAACAGGAGAAACCACGAAAAGTTAACAACAATGTCAACAAAACGAACAACATTATTCGTAACGCCGCAAAGATTTTCAGAAGGGAAATACGACCTTCCCCCCTCCCCTCTTCCCAGCAACGAACAGATACGAACTCTTCCCCACCCCATTCCCCCTTATAGCGCCCGTGAGACAAGAAAAACCAACTATCAAAAAATTTTCTTGGACTCAATGCAAACCCTCTCCCCTGCGACCGACTACAACTCGCTCCCCCCCCCTTGTTTTCACTTTTGCAATTATGCCAGCTTTTGGAGAGTTGCTTTAACCTTTGTGATGATGCGAGATCTAAAGCTGTTGAAGTTCCCTTGTATATTTTACGGTTTTCTGAATTGTACGGTATACTATGTTATGTTAACGTTAATGTTATGTTAATCTCACCGTTAGTGCTAATCTCGTTGTGTTATTGATAAAATTAATGAATTTACGATTATCCAGGTTTGAGGTATGATCGTCGAGGTTCGAGCTGAGCTGCGTCCGCCTACTATAAAATCTGAACCAGCATGCAATCCAATTTACCTTCCTTGCATACTTCATGCCGACATTCTCCCAAAAGTGAGCATATTTGGGATGTTCGAGAGCTATGATAACACCCCTGTAGTCCACTTGTTCAGCGATCCCGAGCAGAGCGAAACCAGTGAAAACTCCTGGAAAGTTACTATTGAGCTGTTGAAATATTAGCAGTAACAGAATGGTCTATAGTTGATATCATCAAAATCAGTCGCGGCGGTGTCACGAGAAGAGAGCCCGGATTGGGTTTTCTAGCAACAGTTATCGGTAAGTAACTGATTCACGATGAACGCAACCAATGGTGAGATCGCCGCGGGTGGGCTCATTCCATTCTCATTTTTTCCGCCTCTTGGCACCCATTGACTGCAACGATATCAATGCTAAGTGTGGTGCTATCCTTAACATTGTCTAACATGGCGTTGAAAATAATGATTTTGGATGCAAAATGAGGTAGTTAAGAGTAAGTAATGGTCGTGACTACTCGCAATGAAAACTAGGTGAGAAATTCCAAAATACTATTACGTACGAGCGTTACATTAATGACATTTGTGCACTGTAGAACAGCACTGTGATTTGTTAAAATATGTAATAACAAGTCACGGGTTGACCTACTTAGCAGTCAAGGGTTGACATACCTATGACAAGACATCTGGACGGTTTGTACAATGATATGAGGGATTGTGTGAGATGCAAAACTTCCGGAGTGACGGAGTCACGCCATGATAGCGTGGCTGGGAATGATGCCTTGTACATCTCCTAAAAAGACTCTATTAAGCAGCAAAAGAGAAAATTGAGTAGTTCTCAGCTACTTCGCACAGAATACTTTAAAATTTTTCCCGTTATATTATCCTTTGTGGTTTCTTGTTGATCACAAATATGACATTGGTTTTCGGCAGTGACGACCTTTTAGCGCCATGACCATTCTCACCGGGTTTGCTATAAGCTTCCATCGAGGTCGTTAGTGAGGGTCCTGACTACGAAAGCAGTATTCCACCTCGGCACCGGCGCTGCTTAGCGCTATGCAAAGGTTGTATGTGAGAGGAGTGCCTCCCCTAGGTTTGGCCTTACCAGAGTGTAGACGACCAGGGGAGGGGAGCGGACCGGGTATGTGATGGTAGGGCCACGCGGCGTCGCGCGATAATTGGGAAGGACAGTGACATTTTGCTGCTGTTTTCCAACGGGACACTACACCGTACATTGAATTGCATAATTCTGCGCTTTAGCAGTTGTGCGGCCACGCCGCAATTCCTCGACGCCTCCAGCTAGTTGCTGCCCTCCTATCCCCATACTCTCTACTTCCGGTTCACTGGTGGACGCTGGTAGACGCTGGCAGACGCTAGAGTGATACCTATGCTTCCCTAGCCCTCGAGACGCTGGCAGACGCTAGATCGATATCTATACTTTCCTAGTCGCTGACGCTGCCGGACGCTCGGAACGCTAGTGGACGCTGGTGGACGCTGGTGGACGCTGCTGCAAAGTGCAACGCGGCCTACTGGTATTCATTGTTCCGGATAAGTAAAAAATTGGTTCAATTTTCGATGGCTAAAAAGTGATGCTGAGGAAATAGAAAAAGTGAAGTCGAAAAAAAGGGAAACAACTAACTCTGAGCAAGCCCTGCATATCATTGTCGTCAATGATTGTTGAGTGGCTGTATGCATATTGGAAAATGGGATCTGTTGTGTCATAGCTTTCAAGGTGAACCTCACAACGCTTACCAGGTTCTGAATAGTTTATTTATTTTGATATTCATTCTGCTATAGGAAACAGATGCCTTCGTGCAAATATTTGGGAAAGTTTCAGTAAAATATCCCGTTTATTCCTGCTTCATCAGCAGTAAGCTTTAAGAGCACATTTTTCGATTGCAACTTTTGGACAGTGGGTTTGAGAAACAAAAATGTTTCACTTGACCTACTAGTGCGAGGAAACAACAGAAAAACCCTGAATAAAACCTTCCTTTTGGAAGCATATGATGATTGCAGTACAAGCGTAGAACGGTCAAGATGTATAGCAAGGGCGAGAAGTGACGACACCATCAAGAGTGTGGGATGGAGACTCAAGAGTGTGAGATGGAGACCAGAACACCGCCGGCAAGAGAGCATAACGGCACGGACAGAAGGGGTGGATATGCGCTTATGCCTAGGCGACGTGCTTGTAACCCCCCCCCTTGCTTCGTTTACGGCTTTACGAAGCAACCATCTGTGTTGCGGTGACTGGTCTCCTGCGGTTGCCCCCCCCCTTTTGATTGCGGACTGTGCCTTTAAGTACACGACTTTTCTGTAGCTTAGTGACTGCATGGTACTGTGCACTTCTTCACATTCCAAGACAAACCCAATGAGATCGCTTCTGTTTTAGTTTGCGAAAGTGAATCATGGATGAAGCTGACTCACGACAAACAGTGCAGGCTGCTGATGAGCCCTGATCCGGTGCAGTGGTTAGAGGAGGAGGCTCGGATGGTGGCATAGGTCGTGTGAACTTCATGGCCTGAAAATTGTCACGATAAACTAGGCAATCCTGCCCTCGTTATGCCTAATCATTATGAGTTAATGTTCCCCGTCCTTCAATGTAGTCTTCGAGGTATTTTCCACGCTAAGAATGTGGGTGGAGCCATTTGTACAAGCGGCGCCACCCACATTCTTAGCGTTCTCGCTCATGGGCTTCTATGCGTGGCAGTGAGTGAAGCGCAGGCGTCCAAGTGACTCTGTTCGTGAAATCGGCGCAAATGTGCCTTGAAATTTTTCGCATATCTACAGTGACGGAATGACTTTTTCGTGGAGCTTTAGAACGTTATTCAAACTCTGAAGCATCCTGGCTGGATAAGTACTTTAGTGCTGCTTCCCTCATCAACTAGTTGCTGACTTTTCGAAAAAAATCCAGGCACAGTTTATTCTCCAAGTTTACCCACATACTGCAAGCCCTGAACAAGACGGAGCGGCCTAAAGGTTGTTTGATGGTGATCTG